GTCCAAAATATATCTAACCCTTGCCAATATCGATATATTTTTTGCTATTTTGTTCTGAACATATCTGATATAAGATTTCCAGGAGAATTTGTCATCAACTATGACACCTAGAAATTTAATTTTATGTACTCGTTCTATATTAGCTCCCCCAATTTTCAATTGAAGTTCATTATCTAGTCTATGATTCCCAAATACCATAAATTTAGTTTCATCCAAATTCAAAGATACTATATTACTGTCACACCATTTCTTTATCTTCTCAAGTTCCTGTGTAACCCGTCCAGAGAGTTGTTGTAGGTTTTCACCCGATGCCCATATGACAGCACATACTTTCTTTTGACAACTTTTAGACGTTAGGTTTTGCATTGCAGAAACTTCCTGTAGGTAAAGTGTTTGTTTTATCTTTTTGATTTGTTTCCCGGTCCACTGCTGCACAGTGGTTTTTACGTGTTAATTATCAGTAACATTACCAGTAACACCTAAATAATCATTAATCGTGGTTTTCAGGCTGCATACGTTCCAATAATTCATCAGTAAATGCTAGTAAGTCCTCCACAATAATAAACAAACTCTCGCAAGAAAACATTTTCACAACCTGGAAAACCAAAAATTGTTCTTCCTAATGGTTTGTAAATATGTAACTCTACTGCAAAATAAAACATTGCTAAATATTAATAAATACATTAGTAGCATTATAAAGACCTTTTATAAATAATGCTTTATTAAAAACGGGTACCAAAAATTAACTTGTTTTCAATAAATTACTTCTCATTCTTAGTTTTTTCAAAAAACAAACCCTCATTCCTACAAAATACCTAAAAAACAAAACTGCTTTGTAAGATTAAGATATTTTTTGCAGTGTGAGTAATTCTTGATCCACTCAAGTTAAATCAATCTTTAAAAAATCACTGTGAAGATATTTTTTGCAGTGTGAGTAATTCTTGATCCATTCATGTTAAATCAGTCTTAAAAAAAAAAAATCACTATTGTCCTATGTGCTGTTGTACTTTAGATTCCTTCCCTTCAGTTTTGATATGCCTATCTTTACGTGCACTCATGAAACAAATGACAAACACTACAAGTTACCAGTTGCATCTGATGCTTGTTGTTGCTGTTACTGTGAGGAACACATGATTCACTCAGATCTGATAGCACTGCAGTTCAAGCACACAACACGCAAATGTCAAAATAATGGCAACAGGTTTTCATAGAAAAAACAGCATGTTTATGGGGAGCTGGCTCCCTAGGAAACATTACAGGGTTGCCATGGATGTGCACTGGGACTCATTGTTTAGAGGATACAACCACAGCTGTTACAGATGAGTTTGATAGGTTCTGTTGAATGGGGCTTTTACTTGTATGTGTGTGTGTGTTGTAGTTTGCACCAGGACTGTGACAGCACTGACTGGTTAAGTGACTACTGGACTGTCCCTTTTTGGTGTTTAGTGCAACCTCAGAGCTGCATAATCATGATTTCTTGGCCTGTGCTTTCATTGTGTTCACCATCCCTTTCTCATTCTTGCTTCACAGCGGAGTTCCTCTTCCTGCTGTGGGCAGTGTACTTGTGTTACGCTGTGAGGACGGTGCCTTCGGCCTTCCACGAGCCTCGATACATGGCCATTGCTGTTCACAACGAGCTGATCCTGTCAGCAATATTCTATGTCATCAGGTACCAACTCCTGCCCTGAGTCACCTGACTTCCTTAGCAGCTGTATGGGAATTAAAATACAGCTGACATTAAAGGGTTGATTCCCCCAAATAAAGTGGAGTTTCTAGTGGTAGTTTAGATTTTATTTGTTCAGAGTGTGTTTACAGTGCAGGTGAATGGAATTAATTAATTTACATAACAGCCATTTAATTTTATCAAATTATATACTATATATATCACACAAATAAGAATTAAATTAAAAACCAAATAATGTGCTGTATTTCTGGACTGGTATTGTTTGAGTTCTTCTTTTGTTGCTTTGTTGCCATTGGTAGAAGACATACTCAGATCCTTTACTTAAGTAAAAATACTCAGTTGAAAGTAAAGGTCCTGCATTCAAAATGTTATTTAAGTAAAAGTACAAAATTATTAGCATCAAAACATACTCAAAGTTATAAAAGTAAAAGTACTCACTATGAGCACTGGCACATTTAATATTATTATATATCATGTTGTAATATGTATTATAATTACTGATGCATTATTGTGTACATCACATTTAGCCTAAAGTTGCAGCTGGTAATGATGGAGCTTGTTTTAACCACATGCTTTTAATTTGATTTACTGCTGGGTAGTTTGAGTTTTCCACCAGAGATCAATAAAGTTTTATGATTATTCTGGTTCTGAAAAGTAGCTAGTAATGGGAGTTATAAAATGTTTTCAACTAAAAAAGTAAAATATTTGCCTATAAAATGTAGTGAAGTCAAAGTATGAAGTAGCAGAAAATGAAAATACTCAAGTACAGCTATGTCAGAATTGTACTTAAGTACAGTGTTTGAGTAAAAATATACTTTACTTTCCACCTCTACTCAGTACAGTACTTTATTTTTTTAAGTGAACTGTAACCCCCTCAACATGCAGATTGATTATGTTTACATCATGTCCCACATTTTCCGGCTTCGTATTTAATATGATGGTCGTAGATTGCCCTCCACTTTTGACATGTCGGTGTCTGTCCTCCACTAGATTCTCTCAGTTAGGCTATTGCATAAGCTCAAGTCTTCTGTTCAACTGGGAGCTGTTTTTACTGTAGCCAAGTCAGCCCTCTCCCACCAATGTACGTGTCAAATAGCTGCACCATGTAGTTTATAAATGAGACACTGCCACAGCCATTCCTTGCTGCAGTCTTGATTGAGAGCTTTTCTCCATCACATGAGTTTTGTTGTTGTTGTTTTTTGTTTTTGTTTTTTTGTTTTTTTCAAAAAGGCATAAATAGCTAGAATTATTGGTAGCCTTAATTCCACATTTAACATCCATTACCAGTAAACTATACATGACTGACGAACAGCCTGATACTGTAGGTTCTTGGAAGAAATCAGTTTCCAGCAGTTCTGGTTGTATTTCAACATCTGGCTGTTGGTGATTACTTTGCCAGCTCCTTTAATGGGCCTCTTCAGCCATGCTGTGAGGCTTTTCTCTGCAGAAAATGGCCAGACCAGGCCTCTAATAAATTAGACATTTGACTCGTGTAGCAAGTTGATTCTGACTGTCTGCCTGCAGAGACCACAGTATACACTGGGGCTTGTTAGAGGCATCCGGAATCTATTTGTTTTACTCACAGAACCTGCTATTTGATCCCACAGGGACCAGTTAAAGCTCAGACTTGTTCGCTGTGATATTCATCAGGTGTGAATAGGATGCTGAGAGAAATTAAGGGAATGTATTGTAATAGCTCGGAGTCTTGCGCGAGTGATGGAGGTGTTTCAGAATGGCATTGCAGAAGGAAAGACAGTGTGCCAAGGATGTTAAATCCTCCTCTGGAAAGAAACTTTTCACACAAATTGAGGTTTTAATCTTGAATTCAGGAGGGGCAACACGCCTGAACACAGGCTGCTTCCGTTCCTGATTACATTTAAACTACTCATTCAAACTCGTCTTCTGCTTCCGTTTTTTTTTATAAGGCGGATAGCCCGCCATAATTGTACTTAAGTACTGTACTTGAGCAAATGTACTTAGTCACTTTCCCCCCTGCAATTTAACGATGGAAATAGAACTGATTGTTGTTAGTACTCAAGCCTTGCTCCTTTTCAGCTTCTGTTTTTTTAAGCCTCTGTTATTACTGGATACCTTCTGTACCTACCTGGATTGCAACCTACACAACCACAGACTTTATATTAAAGCTGAAGAAATTCTCTATCCACTTCCTGTTTTTATTTTTCAGCATTTTGGTCCTTAAACAAAAGCCTTCACATTGTCTCTCTCGTATCTCATTTCCCATATATCTTTTCTGTGTTTCCCTTACATTCTGACAGGTTCACTCTTGCTCCTGAGCTCCACCCAGACTGGATGCTGATACTGTTCTTCACCCACACCCACTTAACTGTAACAGTTACACTGGGTCTACTACTCATTCCTAAGGTAAAGTTCACAAGTCATGTGTCACATTATTCTGCTTTGCCTAAATGACAAGTAAAAAGCACTGCTTTTGTTTTTTATTTTGATATAATTTGTTAATATATCATCTCATTTAATTTTGCTTTATGCATTTTTCTGCTTCTGTATTCTTGGTAACACTTTAGTTCAAATCCTGTAACTAGCCTTTATAATCCCTACAATATATTAACAAATACTTTATAGTTAAAGTCATACATAAGGACATTTATGTTTATTAATGTGCATTACTTGGCAACAAATACAACTCTTATGTCAAGTATTACAAATTGGTTTTAGTGCATTTTTATTCATTGTCATTTTATAGACCAGCTACCAGTGACCACAGGAGGAGCTGTTTCTGTTAATTACATTATAAACACTAATATCTGCTAAGTGTTAGCAAACATTTATATTGTTCATAACCTAATTTAAGTGTGATATAAATTAGCTTTAGCCTTTTCCAACAAATATTGTATTATTATAATCGATGTAATATTGTTTGCTAATTAACAAATGAACTTACTGCCGTAAAAAGCATTGCCTACGTAGCTGAAGTTTGATGTGGTTTAACTCGCTATTAAAAACATCAGTGAGCCGCACCTATACACACGATGGCATGTTTCTTCATACTATAGTGTGATTTCAATTAATAATTTCTGGCTCTTTTATGCCATCCCTCAGTTCCTATTTGCTAGCACCCACATGAGAGATGATATAGCCTCTGAGGCCTACGAGGATGAGCTGGACATGGGTCGATCTGGGTCGTACCTCAACAGCAGCATAACCTCTGCATGGAGCGAACACAGTCTGGACCCTGAGGACATTCGGGTGAGTAGTGTTTCCATTTACTTTTTTCATGTGCTTTGTATAACCTGGTGATACCTTTTGAATCCTCTGAAAATACTGAGCCATGGAAGTTCTTTATTGCAGACACCAGACGAAATGAGCCATCACAGTTCTATTAATGGCTGTGGCGTAAGGTCTTGCGACAGTCTTTGGGAAAAACGTGCCAATGTGAGCAGAGATTTCTTTTTGTTTGTTAGAGCTGAAGAAGTCTCTCTACCAAAAGATTTGGACAGCTCAAGCCTGTTTACCAGAGGGAGTGAGATTATGATGACACGCTGCTTGAGAACTTTCACTGCAGTGGATGGGCATTGAGACCGAAATGCAATAAATTCAAGATGTGAGCTTAGAGGCTGTTTCAGACCTAACATTAAAACACACTTTGTGTCCTTATTTGATGCTGTCCAAGACTGTCCTGTCTTTGCTTTCTTTCAGCACGCATGTAATATTCCATAGTGCATCATTTAACAGCAGTTTGTAGTCACGTGTGTCATGGGTTTGTACTGCATGTTCACTGTGCAGTAGAATGTGGTTTTTTTTCTAACGATGCTTTGAGTAGAAATCTTTTTTAAATACAATTTTTAAAAATACACTTATCTGTTTGAAACAGGAAACTGATCGCCTGTTTTTTCCCCCTTGATTGATTCATGAATGTTTAGGAGGAGCTGAAGAAACTCTATTCTCAATTGGAGATTTACAAGAGGAAGAAAATGCTGGCAAACAATCCTCATCTCCAGAAGAAGAGGAGCTCCAAGAAAGGACTTGGTCGCTCACTAATGCGGCGCATCACTGAGATTCCTGAGTCAGTACACCGGCAATGTAGCCGTGAAGACAAGGAGGCTGGAGAACATGGGAGCAATCGTAACAGCACTTGCATGTTGAAAAAGAACGCCTTTGATCCAACTCACCCAGGAAAACCAGTGAAGGAGGAGTCGATGAAGAACAAGGTGTTCTCTCTAAAGAAGTCTCACAGTAGCTATGACCATGTCCGTGACCAGAGTAAAGACTCCAACAGCTCAGCAACAGACAAGATGGAGGTGACCACAGCTGAAAACTCCCTTCTAGATACACTTATAGACAAGAAGCTGGTCAAGAAGAAGTCTAGCGACAATATAAATGTACAGAGTGAATCTACAGAATCAGTTCCTTTGGTCTGCAAGTCAGCCAGTGCTCATAACCTCACTGCAGATAAGAAACCAATTCATCCCAGAGCCTCCATGCTACAGAAGTCCCTTAGTGTGATTGCCAGTGCGAAAGAGAAGACTTTGGGCTTCACGGGAAAAACTCAGAGTGCAGAGGACAGTAATAAGAAGATTCAGTCAAAGAGTAAAGACACAGAGCCCAGTGCAGAGCCAGAGAATGAAAGCCAGCTAAAAATGATTACTAGCCAGTCGGTTGAGTACAAAGAGAGTACAGCAAAAAGTCGAATAATGAAACAGCCGATGAATGGCAGCCAGCCTACTCTTTCAACTGATCCAGTCAAGGCAAAAGATCTCTATGATCTCTCAGAAGTGTGTCCTTGGGAAGTGGAAGATCTCCCAACTCCATCTGAAAACAAGGTCCAAAAGCATGTTTCTATAGCACCAAAGGAAACCACAACGGTTCATAGAGGAAGCACCAAGGGAGGTAAATCTAAGCAGCAGGAGCAGA